AACTTATGTATGGCGTACATTTTCAAGCAGTTCAAAACAACATTGAAGAGATGTCATTAGGAGAATTATTTTATTTATGCATTTATATGTCTCGAAGCGTGTATTTTTATTTACACTGTGGAGAATGTTGATATGTTCAAACGGAATGCACGGTCTCTGTACCCTTATTTATTTATTTTTTTTTTGGCAAATGGAAATTCGTGATGAGTCTTTATCTTGGTCTTGAAATTTCACAAACCGGTCTCTTGGCTAGAGATAGGGTGTAAGCATTAAAAATTCATACTAAAAGGTATTGGAAATTGTACTCACTGAAATTTGATAGATATTTCGCCTACAAAAAGTAAGCGACATTTTTCTGTACTAGGAAGCGCTTATAGTAACATTTTCAATGAAGTAAAAATTATGTTTCGAAATATTACGAAGCGATAATAATATGGATTCCATGGAAGTATGTACATTAGGGGCGCAAACATTTTTATACCCTCTACCGTTTGTAACTCCACAATATACTCAATGTATATATATCGTTGATCAACGCAAACTTCTAAGCCGATCTAGCGATGTCCGAAGGTCTGTCTGTTGTAACCACGCTATATTTCGTAAACGGGCTATATAGAACATAAACCAAGGTTTTATATATCCCCTCCCGATATTCGGTATTTTGATGATTTCCAACTCCTGTGGCAGAACATTGTCTACATGGATCCTTGTTTTCCTATAGACCCCCATGCTTCGGTACTTTCCGATATTCGGTATTCTGAGGATTTTAGACACATTTCTAGGGCAATCGTTCAAAAATCGATATGTATAGATTGTCAGGGATACCTTCGGCCTTATGGCTACAGAGGATATATATCACTTGATACGGTCAAAAATGCCTAATCGAAATAACGGACCCTAGGTCTCTTTGAACCAAATCAGTTTTACGACATTTAGAGTCGATCTAAGGATTTAAGTCTGTCTGTCCGATGCGCACAGCACGACAACTCTCGAAGTGAGCATTCGATTGAGGTGAAATTATATTAATAGACAATAATATTATTGTCTAACTTGAATCGAGTTCGAAGATTGGCAATATCGGTCCATTCCTTCTAGTGCCTCCAACACAAAAGTCAAAAATTTCAAAGAAAATTATTTGACTTCTAGAACAAGAAAGCATCATTCGATTTTGTTCACACTTGGAAAATTAAATATTTGATTAGTGCTAGGTCAATTATAAAAAAGCAAGTTAAAAAATATCGGTCGGTTTTGCCGACAGATGTATACCCTGAACCAAGGTTCGATTATTCTGTTATGATTATTCAAATTGTCGACCCTCTATGTATTAGGCTACGAAGGAATGGATCAATATTGACAATTTCGTGATATAACATATCTTATGTTGATGGAAATATTTAGATGTGCTAAGTCTGAATGGAATCGGATGTTAATTTCGCTTTTAATTAATTAATTTCGCTTTATGGATATTCAAAATTTCGATCTTTTGTGGGGGGGAGGTAACAGAAGGAGTTGAGAGATATATTCCATCTTAACACTAGATCTTGAGTTTATAAAATTAATGGGAAGTGTGAAAATTTCTTTCTGGGCAAAAAATATATTTTTTGAAATTTTCGACCATTTGTGGGGGAGGTGTGGGCCGATATATTTCATCTTAACACCAGACCTTGGGTTACTAGAAATATTGGGATGTGTGAAAATATGAAGACGATCGGACTCTTACATCACACTTTATAAGTGTTGTAATTATTCACAATTTTGACCCTTTGTGAGGGGGGTACTGGATGGAGTGGACCGATATTGTGAATTTTCGCACCTGATCTAGTACTGATGCAATTATTAGGATTTGCAAAATTGAAGCAAAATCGGATTATCCTTTCTTTTCCGTGTAGACAATTCTTATACCCTACACCACAAAGTGGTCAGGGTATTATGTCTTTGTGCATTTGTTTGTAACAGGCAAAAGGAAACGAGATAGACCCATAGTTCCTTTTGATGATCTGCATAGAATCACATTCTGAGTCGATTTATGCATGTCCATCCGTCCGCCTGTCTGTGTGTCCATGTATTTTTGTAAACAAAGTACAGTTTGCCTTTATTGCCCTATCCAGATGAAATTTTGCACAAATCATTTGTTTGGCCCAAGGACGAACCCTACTGAAATTGGAGATAATCGGTCAAGATTTAGAAATTGCTCCCATATATATCTCCCCCGATATGCCTTTTATTGTGCACCAAACGTGTAATATCAGCCCGAATAGTATGGAATTCTGCACATACAACCAAATTAGGCCTGAAAATAAGTATGCCAAATTTGATCGAAATCGGTTCAGATATACCTATACCTCCCATATATATTGTTCATCCGATTTGTTATTTTTGTCCTCCGCAGCCGTAATATGCACTCTGAAACAACAATATTTAGGGAAATATGTCAAATACAGCTCAGAAATATCTTTGCCAAATTTTATTGGGATCGGTTCAGATTTGTATATAGCTCCCATATATAACTTCGTCCGATTTAACTTTTATTGAAAACCAAACGTCTAATATTTACCCAAATGGGATGGGATTTGGCACATGCGACCGAATTGGGTCTAGAAGCTAGTATGCCAAATTTGGTGAAGATCGGTTCAGATAAAGCTATAGCTCCCATATATATTGTTCATCCGATTTGTTGTATTTGTTACCCACAGCCGTAATATGCACTCCGTAACAACGATATTCAGGGAAATATATGAAATACAGCTCAGAAATACATTTGCTAAATTTTATCGAGATCGGTTCAGATTTGGATATATCTCCCATATATATTTCTTAATCTGATTTCAAATTAATTTCGCACCAAATGGGTAATACAAGTCCGAATTTAAAATATACAAATGCAACGGCATATTTAGTCCTTTGAATTATAAATTATAATCATAGCGTGTATGACTGAATTCTCCCATAAAAAATTTTAATTGTTATGTGGAGCTCTACTAAATAAGCAAGGTGGTGTAGGGTATCATAAAGTCGGCCCCGCCCTATTTTAGGAGTTTCTGTACTGGGTTTATCTGTAAAATTGTCGAATGTACTATATACCGAAAGTCAACGGATTCCAAGAAATCTTAATCCGAAATTTTTAAAAAAATATGGGGAAACTAGCCCCCTCCATTGGCTTTGCGATATAAACTTTCAAAACGTCGATACACGTACCTTCTATTTTTATACCCGTACCAAAAAAGGTGTGGAGGGTATATTAAGTTCGTCATTCCCTTTGTAACTCATCGAAATAATCATTTTAGACCCAACAAAGTATATATATTCTTGATCAGCATAAAATTCTAAGACGATTTAGCCCTGTCCGTCCGTCTGTCCGTCTGTTGTAATCACGCTACAGTCTAAACGAATTAAGATAGGAAGCTAAAATTTTACACAGATCTCTCTTTTGTCTGCAGGCAGGTCAAGTTCGAAGATGGGCTATATCGGTCCACGATATCGTATAGCCCCCATATAACGGTACCCCCGATATTCGGTATTTTGATGATTTTAGCCACATTTTTCAATGGAATTCTCTGAAAATCCACACAAGTAGTTCCTTGTGGGTAATTTATACCTCGGCAGAGAATTATCTATATAGGTCCACGATATCGTATATCCCCCATATAACTGTACCCCCCGATATTCGGTATTTTGATGTTTTTAGCCATATTTTTCAACGGAATGGTCACAAGGGGTTCTTTGTACACAAGGGGTTCTTTGTGAGCACTTTACCCACCGACAGAGAATTCTCTATGTAGGTTAACGATAACGTATAGCTCCCATATAACAGTACCCCGCGATATTCGGTATTTTGATGTTTTAGCCACATTTTCCAATCGTATTGCCTGAAAATCCACACATGGAGTTCCTTGTGAGTACTTTACACGCAGACATAGATTTGTCTTTATAGGTCCACAATATCGTATATCCCCCATATATCGGCACCTTCCTATATTAGATATTTTAAAGATTTTAAAAGAATTTTTATTGGATTTTTTTTTTGAAAATTTTCTAATTCGTTCCAAATCGTGGAGGGTATTCAAAGTTCGGCCCGGCCGAACTTACTGCTTTTTTACTTGTTACAATTGTGTTGGTGAACTCACAGATATCCCATGGGATACTCTTTGCCTAGCCTTGGTGTAGATTCACGTTTTACTATAGCACCGATATAACGGTAGAATATTCTATAGTTTTAAACCATATTTTCTACCGGATTTGTTTCAAAATCGGTATTTGTAGTTCGTAATGGGTTCTGCAACTGTTGTCAAAACATTTTCCATATTAGTCCAAGATTTCTATATGACGATACCCACCGATATTCGGTATTTTGATAATCCTAGCCACAATTTTCCACCATGTTTTGAATTTGGTTCTTAAGAATCGCAATAAATAACAATTCTTGTAGTAGAAAATTGTTCCCGCTTTGGTAAGTGGAGTAATTCACTTTTTTAATCAGTTTCAATAAGAAAACTTCCACCCAGTCGTACCTAAAAAAAATTTCCACAGTTTTTTCCGCACACATTCATTTCTTTCATTAAGTACTTTGTATGTAGGTACGTATATGCATATGTGTGTGTGTGATTCATATTGTACATCTGTATGGTAAGTATATCCATGAATGAATGAAAATATCAAAAGCTAATGAACACCACAGACTTGCATAGAAAAAGATTTAAAAAAAAGAAAAACGAAAACAAAAAATATTAACTTTTCATTCCTTCTTCATACATACAAGCACATACACACTCACACATCAATATGCAACATTTACAGATACTATAGAAAAAACAGAATAGAAGAAAAACTGCCATAGAAATAGGAAATAGTACATTGAAAAAACAGCATGAAGAACATGCACACATACATACATACACACACAAGCACTTACATACATACACACACACGTACACAGAGATGCAGCTTAAGCTATTCTAAGTTGTTTTTCTTCGTCTCTATTTTATTTATTCATAACGTATTTATTAAGTATCTTAGGATGACAAGTAGACCAAAACAATTTCACATCGTCTCGGTCTTCTCGTCATCGTCATCTCCATTACTTACCCCATCTAAAGTTTTGATGTTGTGCAAAGCATCCTGCGCCTTCAAAGCAGCCTTACGTGTATAGTACGTCACAAAACAGCATCCTGCAAGACACACAAAGAACAAGAAGCAAAAAAAGGAATACAAGAATACAACAACAAGTAGTACAAGAAACTGTAACATTTGACAAAAAAGAAGTAATACTCATAACATGGAATATAAAAACTATGCTTGGTATAAATGCTACTACAGAGTAAAAGAGAACGCTCTACAAAAACATACGAACATAAGTAGATATACATATGCAACATTTTATGGCCGCATCTTCATTAGTCGTATACAACCAGCAAGTTGAGGTATAACGTATACGACAAAAAAAAAACAGGAGGCAAATGGTCTTTAGAAATAATTTCTAAAGGACATAAATTACAGCTATTCGCCATTCAAAGATTGAGAGAGAGGGGCACACTTGGCCTATTACTTGCATAGCTCCAAACATTCGAATAGCATACTTCCTTATAGTTCTGTGGCCCACTTTTGATTGGGCCTTAATTGAATATACTATATTGCATACTTGACACCATCTGATTAAGTAACTTTTGCAAAAATTCTGAATTCCGTTTTGTTCCGCTAATTAACATGCAATCATTACAAACAGGTAATTAACGCTAATAAATACTCAAATTTGGCAAGAACATGTAAACTTTACAAAAACACACAAAAGGGACGGAAAAAACAATTAACTTTTTTTTGGCAAACGAACATCATGCAATGCATTTTTTGTTGATAAATAATGATGGGGAGTATTTCCTTTTCAAATGTTTGAACAAGAATGGGTTGCACGAAAAGGACAAAGAAAATATGATTTTTATGAAATTTGAATTAAATTTAGCTTTTATGTAGGTATTTCGGTATTTTTTCATTAATTATCGCTAAATATGCAGGGATCAGTGTTTTTCAAATGCGGACTAAAATTGGAAATTGTCTTTTAAATAAGTTAAAAGTTTAGGTCAGTTGGTACCCTCAGCTTATGATCATTATTAAATGTATATATTCGCAATAAAATATTTTTTGACCTAAGGTTACTTTTGTTAAAATGTGCCAAGTGGGCACAAAATTAATTAATTCGAATAAAAGTTTTTAAAATTTTTTCCTGATTCCGGGAAACTCTTTTTTTCTTGGGGGACGGACCCTGGTACCCGGAAATTTGACCCAAAACGAATATGAGTATAATTTGAAAGCTAATGAAAATAGCTATCACAAGACCCGGATTTTTCAATGATTCCCCCAAAAGTCGAAAAAGGCCCCATTTTGGGAGTCCACTATATATATGCCAAATTATAGTTGACACTATGACCTTTCCAAAATGTTACAAATGTTACATTGTCATTCCGTTTTTAACATCCCTAAATATTCGGCGTAGACCCCAGAATGTATATATATTGATAATCAGCATAAAATTCTAAGTCGATTTAACGATGTAGGCGGACGATGTCCCTGTCTGTTTGTTGAAATCACGATACAGCCTACTTTATTTGACGTAGAGCGTCAAAATGAATTGCAGATCAATTTGTATTGTGTCTAGGATGGTTGGTATTGAAAATGAGATGTATCGGTCCATGTTTTGGTATAGTCCCCATATAACGGTACCTCCCGATATTCGCTATTTTGATGATTTTTGCCACATTTTTTCACGGATTTGTCTGAAAATTGGTCATAATGGGTCCTAGTTCGTGTGGCGAGACATTGTATGTATAGGTCCGCGTTTTGGTATAGCCCCCATATAAAGGTAACTCCAGATCTTCGATATTTTGACTATTTTTGCCATATTTTTTTACGGATATGTCTAAAAATTGGTATTTGTTGGTCATAAGGGGTTCTAGCTCCGGTGGCGAAACATTGCATGTGTAGGTCCACGCTTTTGTATAGCCCCCATATAACGGTACTTTCCGATATTCGATATTTTGACTATTTTTGCCATATTTTTTTACCGATTTGTCTAAAATTTGGTATTTTTGGGTCCTAATGGGTCCTAGTTCTTGTGGTGAAACATTGCATGTATAGGTTCACGATTTGGTATAGCCTCCATATAATGGTACCTCCCGACATCCGGTATTTTGATGATTTTTACAGCATTTTTTCACGAATTTGTCTGAAAATTGGTATTTATGGGTCATAATGGGTCCTTGTTCGTGTGGAGAAACATTGCACGTATAGATTCACGATTTGGTATAGCCCCCATATAGCGGTATTTCCCGATATTCGGTATTTTGATGATTTTTGACAAATTTTGGTATTTGTGGGTCATAATGGGTTCTAATGTTTCCTTTACCCTGAGGTGGAGGGCGTCTACCATACAGCATAAAAGGCTATAATAGCGCGGGGCCGGCTATGTGATACCCTACAACATTACAATATGTTGAAAGCCCCCTTATGTCCAAATCCATTTTGGAAATTTTCGCTTTTGAAATGATGCCATAGAGCACTTCCCAGATGTTACCCTTGGCTTTTTGACCAGGACATTGCAAAATATTTACACACTCCTTCGTGTTGTTGGTATGCAAAACATTTGCACTCGACAATTGTCTTTAAATCTCTTCTCATGAAAAATTCCGTGTCGATTTGTTTTAAATTGTGACCTGCGACTGCAAAATCAGAGAATTGTTATATTTTTTTGTCCATTTGAACCTCTAAATGTACGTCTTCAGAAACAATAGGCTTTAATTCTGAACATAAACCTACCCCATCCAAAATTTCGTGAGGATCGGACGATAATTGCGACCTGTATATAATACCCTCAAAAAATAGTAGCAAAACACAATTGTGGAATTTTGAAAATCAGTCAATCAATCAGATCCAGTAAAGATAATAGCAAAAATCGTAACATTATGGTAAGGTTGGAGTGTAAGCTATTATATAGTGTATGTTTTGTGGATGCTCAAAATAGGACCTCTTTTAACTTCTGTGGATTTTTTAAAGAAATTCGGGTCCAAACAAACTATAATTTTTATATAACTCCCGAACCGTTTTAAATAACCCCGTCAAGTGACCACTTAGTGGATAAATATTGGATTTCAAATGACACCACATTGCTTTAGTAAGACCAGGTCAAACCCGGGTTGGAAATACCTACCTCTGAAAAAATGTCAAACAAATCCAAGAGTTCTTAATAAATTGGAGCTTTTCAAAATTTACCAACTAAAGATAATGACCCGAAAATTGATAGTTTAAAAGGATAAGGACAACCCATGAAAGAGAAATTTATCCGTTAGATAACTTAATTTCGAAAGAATGGATAAGTAAAATACCTACCTGTCCATTGAAGAAAGCAAAAAGCTCTACTTTGAATGGGAGATCTTTTTCTCAACTAACTTAACAAGATAAGATAGTAAGCTTTATCTAAAGGTCTTAGAATTCATCAAGCCCAATCGAAGCAGCTACAGCTCTTCTATGGAGCTTTACGAGTTCTTCTGTGGATAGAAGAGCTTCACCAGCTCTTCTAAGAATAGAAGAGCTTTACGAGCTCTTCTACGGATAGAAGAGCTTCAGCAGCTCTTATATGGGTAGAAGACCTTCATCAGCTCTTCCACGGATAGAAGAGCTTCACCAGCTCTTATATGAATAGAAGAGCTTCAACTGCTCTTTTGTGGATAGAAGAACTTCACTAGAACTTCTGTGGAAAGAAAAGCTTCACCAGCTCTTCTATGGATAGAAGACCTTCAAATGCTTTTCTATGGATAGAAGGACTCCGCCAGCTCTTCTATGGATAGAAAAGCTAGCCAGCTTTTCCAAGGATAGAAGAGCTGCACCAGCACTTCTATGGATAGAGGAGCTGCACCAGTTCTTCTATGGATAGAGGAGCTGCACTAGTTCTTCTATGGATAGAAGAGCTTCAGCAGCTCTTCTATGGACAGAAGAGCTTCAGCAGCTCTTCTATGGACAGAAGAGCTTCAGCAGCTCTTATATGGGTAGAAGAGCTTCAGCAGCTCTTATATGGAAAGAAGAACTCTACCAGCTCTTCTATGGATAGGAAAGCTTTAATAGCTCTACCGTAAAAGAGCTTCACCGGTATATTCGGTATTTTGATGGTTTTGGCGACATTTTTTCACCAGAATTGTTTTAAATTTCGTATTTTAAGTTCGGAATACATACTTCAGCCTTTAGCAAAAAGTTGCATATGCAGGTTTTCCTCTGCATATAGGCCCCATATAACGATTTTCATTTAGACGGTATTTTTCTAACATTGTTTTTTTTTAATTTTTCAGGTTCCTTCCAAGTGGTGGAGGGTTTTTAAAGTTTGGACCAGTCAAACTTATGAACTTCTGAATTGACATGATATGACATATAGCGTCATTTTGTTTTTCCTCCAGTGTACATAATAACTAAGGTTATTTTAACTCTCCACATAAGTTCTTCAAATAACATGTCCTTATTGCTTATTTTTCTCATTAAGGATCAAATATCCTCGCACTAACATTCCAGGCACATAAATGCCATTACCAAATATGATTAGAATTTCCCATGGAAAATGTTACCGGAACATTGTAATCTAATCACCAATATCCATTACATAGAAAGGGTTGTGTAGGAAAAACTCTCGCACACACCAATATTACCTCCGCTTGGAAGCGTATATAGTTTTATGAGCTTTAATGTTAACGATAATATTCCTACGCTTACCCCTACAGCCCAGGTATATGTCATAAGGAAGTTTAGTTATGGGTCGATTACTAATATTCAAATGGAGAGAGAGAGGTGGTCATAACATGTACCACAAATTACGACTCGATATAGAGTCGTTTTACCGGTCCACTTATTAAGATTTTGTTGGGACGCCTTTAGGGAGAGTGGGGGTTTGGTGGTGATGTTACGTGTTCATAACCTCAACTCGGAAGTGTAAATAATATATGGTAATATTCTAATTTTTATACAAAATATCCTATCGCCATGCTGTGCTCAGGAGGTCGCAGAGTGTGTGTGTGTGTGTGTATGTGTTTTGGTGTATATGGCCTTTAACATATGTTTTACTAGCGATAACAAAATACTAACATTCCTAAAACCATAATGCTTAACATGGGATAAAAACTAATGACAGCTGGTCAGTGGCATTAAAAGTGGTGTAGAGAGAGAGAAAAGAATCGGGCCTATGTTGGTTCTAGGGATACCCTACATGCAGATGAAATCAAGGCGACCGAAAGTGAAGACTTTGGATTCTTTATCAATTTAGAAAAAAATTATTGAAAATTCATACAAAATTGCGATATTTAACCGACCTATGAAAACCAACCTTCAAACCTCGGTTCGTAATATCCCAAGATGAAAAAATCTTATCTTACCACATTGCATGTTAACATGTTGTAAGCAAGCCTCTTGGCAGCCATGTACACACGTTACAAGAAAATCTGTTTACCACTTTTGTAGTAGTATTAGTTGTGTTGATATTACTATAATATCCCGTAATAATAAAAACAAGACTATTATCGGCATGAGCTACAAACGCACACACACACATACACAACCACAGTGTATAGTAAAATTGTGGTCTTACACACAACACAAATCGCATATTTGTTTTTAGCTTTGCCAAGAGTAGAGGTATTAGCTTCGAGGGAGAAAAAAAATATGTAAAATTACCCATAAAACTTTATTAACACTATTACATACTTATGTGTGTGTGTGTACGTTTTCTTTCATCTTCGGTTGTTATACCATAACAATATTTCGTAATGTTTATAACTTTGATTAAAATTTGTTTGTTAGATATAATGTGACGATAAAGAATGTTTTTGCATCCGGCGGGAATACGAAATGAGTTAAATTCGATTTTTTCTTTTTTTTGGTTGGAAGTCAGAGGATGCAAGGAAATTTCGAATGCGGTAAGGTAGGATGCTGGTTTTGGTGGCGTAAATGGCGGATTTAATATCCATAAATATTGGTAAAATTGGTTCTGGCTTCAGGTATGATAGTAAAAAAGGAATTACACATTCTTCTCACAGAGGACCACAAGGTCTTCTTGTAGAAGGCCTTCTCAGAGAGAACCCGAAGGAAGACCATTTAAAGGTCTTCTCATAGAAGTGTGGAAGGTTTCTCATAGAAGACTGGAAAGTCTTCTGATAGAATCCCAGAAGTCCAAAATGTCTTTTCATATAAGGCCAGAAGATCTTTTTAAAGAAGACCAGAAAGTTTTCTCATATAAGGCCAGAAGGTCTCCTCATAGAAGGCCAGAAGACTTACTGATAGATGAGCAGAAAGTCTATTCATAGACCAGCAGAAGGTCTACTCATAGACCAGCAGAAGGTCTTCTCTTAGAAGACCGAAAGATATTCTCATTGAAGATCGGAAGGTTTTCACATGGAAGAACGGAAGGTCTTCTCATGGAAGACTGGAAGGTCTGCTCATAGAAGACTGGAAGAGCTTCACCAGATCCTCTATGGATAGAAGCGCTTCACCAGCTCTTCTATGGATAGAAGAGCTCCAACAGCTCTTCTGTGGATAGAAGAGCTCCAACCAGCTCTTCTATGGATAGAAGAGCTTCACCAGCTCTTCTATGGATAGAAGAGCTTCACCAGCTCTTCTATGGATAGAAGAGCTTCACCAGCTCTTCTATGGATAGAAGAGCTTCACCAGCTCTTCTATGGATAGAAGAGCTTCACCAGCTCTTCTATGGATAGAAGAGCTTCACCAGCTCTTCTATGGATAGAAGAGCTTCACGAGCTACTCTATGGATAGAAGAGCTTCACGAGCTCTTCTATGGATAGAAGAGCTTCACGAGCTCTTCTATGGATAGAAGAGCTTCACGAGCTCTTCTATAGATAGAAGAGCTTCACCAGCTCTTCTATGGATAGAAGAGCTTCACCAGCTCTTCTATGGATTGAAGAGCTTAACCAGTTTTTCTATGTATATAAAAGCTTCAACAGATAGAAGACTCCATTAGATGAAAGAGCTTCACCAGCTCTTCTATGGATAGAAGAGCTTCAGCAGCTCTTCTATGGATAGAAGAGTTTCACCAGCTCCTCTATGGATATATGAGCTTCACAAGTTCTTCTATGTATAGAAGAACTCCAACAGATGGAAGAGCTTCAAAAGCTTTTCTATGGATAGAAAGCTTCAACAGCTCTTCCATGGATATAAGAGCTTCACCAGCTCTTGTATGGATAAAAGAGCTACATCAGCTATTTTATGAATAAAATAGCTTCACCAACTCTCCTACGTATAGAGGAGCTTCAGCAGTTCTTCTTGGATAGAAGAGCTTCACCAGCTCTTCTATGGATAGAGGAGCTTCACCAGCTTTTATATGGATAAAGGAGCTTCACCAGCTTTTCTATGGATAGAGGAGCTTCACCAGCTTTTCTATCTCATTAAGGATCAAATATCGTCACACTAACATTCTAGGCACATAAATGCTTAGATGACTGGAAGGTCTTTACGTAGAAGACCAAAGGGTCTACTCATAGAAGACTAAAGGGTCTTTTCATAGAAGACCAAAGGGTTTTCTCATAGAAGACCAAAGGATCTCCTCATAGAAGACCAAAGGATCTCCTTATAGAAGACCAAAGGGTCTTCTCGTAGAAGACCAGAAGGTCTTCTCATAGAAGACCAGAAGGTCTTCTCATAGAAGACCAGAAGGACTTCTCATAGAAGACCAGAAGGTTCTCTCATAAAAGACCAGAAGGTCTTCGCTTAGAAGAACAGAAGGTCTTCTTATAGAAGACCAGAAGGTATTTTCATAGAAAAGCAGAAGGTCTTCTCTCATTGAAGACCCGAAGTTCTTCTCTCATGGAAGACCCGAAGGTCTTCTCTCATGGAAGACCCGAAGGTCTTCTCTTATGGAAGACCCAAATGTCTTCTCTCATGGAAGACCGGAAGGTCTTCTTATAGATTTCCGGAAAGCCTTCTCATAGAAGAAGAACGAGAAGGTCAAGAAGATCATTGAAGACGAGGAGGTCCTCTCATAAAAGACCGAATGACTGTAGAAGACCTGAAGGCCTTCCTGTCACAGAAGGTCTTTCCGTACAAGGTCTTCTCGGCATTTATTTATATAAGTTAACAAATTTAATTATTCCGACTATTTAAATAATAATATCATTTAATTAAATAATGACATTAATTGAAATTTACTTACCTCGGCTCATCATGGTAACCTTGTCACGCAACACATTCAGCGTATGCACCCGCCCATACTGCTCGAAGAGGGCACGCAACTTTGTTTCATCCCATGCCTTTGGTACTTGGCCCACAAACATTTTTATCGTATCCGGATCCGGTTGGTCTTTGGAAAATTCATCTGTGGCCGTTGACATATCAGAACATTCCATGGGTGTGAATGGTACCAAAGCTAAACTGTCATTAGTCGATTCGGGTTTAGAATCAATATTTTCAGCATTTGTATGGCCATCATCGGTGTTGCCGCCTACAGCGCTGCCACTCGTCATTGTTGTTGGTAAAGCAATGCTGTTAGAAAAAAAACAAAAAAAAAAAAATAACGGATGAGAATAAACATAAACAGAAACAAAATACATTTTATTATCTTTATGCAAACATGGACAGACAAAAAAAATTCAATTAGTTTTGACTCACCCCCGTTCGCCAACTGCTAGGTGTGGAGTGATGGTATTCTCTAATATCCTTATTTACCACCACCCATCCTAGTTTTTCAAATGCCCATCTATGGCGACCTATTTTTGTTTCGATACTCTACTCTGGCTCACCGGAAACCCCTTCGGCTCCCCATTACATTTCTCTTTTTTTTTTTTTTTTTTTGAATGCCATGAAATTTGGCCAGTAGTGTGCCTTGTGCCCTGCTCTGTCCGTGTAACTTCATTAAACTTTTGCCGGAAACTCAATTTTGTGTTCAATGTTTTGCCATGTTATTATGTGGCGGCGCTGTTGCTACGACTTTAACGAATGGGATTTGTTTTCCATAGCGGGTGGTTGTTGCGGGAGAGAATAGCTTTTGGTGCGGGGAATGCTGAATATTATGAGTTCCAGCTAACAAACGAACAGCAAAAGCTAATTTACAGATACAAGAATTGTGATTTCACATCATTACATTGTAAATTGTTTATACATTTGTTCGCCATTGCCATCTACAATAGCTATGTGTGTGTGTGAATGTGTGTATGTCAGTTCCTGTTGTGTTTCCGGTCCTTTCGGTAAATATGCAACACTCACACACACTGAATGCCAACACCAATACCAATTCGCCCAACAGATTCGCCACGAATTTGTACAATTTATTGAAATACAGATTAGATTAGATTTCCCATAACAATTGCTGAATATTTATACCTTTTTAATGTAATTCCCATTGAATATGCTCCGCTCCATGCTGTGGAATACAGCATCTGCTTTATTTCGGTAATAATCCATATATGCGATGATGGTTGGTTGGTAGATAGGTAGGTTGCGTGAAGAGGTTATTCGTTTTTCGATTATCAGAAATATTTTTATTGAAAATTGAAAACTCAAATGACTAATTTTCAGATAAATTTTCAAAATTTTAAAGTAGAAAAATAATTTACAGAAATTTCTATGACACATTTTTTGGGGGGTTTTTATTCTGAAAAATATACACAGGTGGAAAGACAAAGTAGAAATATGGGTGAAAATTTCCACCAAACTATTTTTGCAGAAAATTGAAGCATCTCTTGTAGCCGACTCTGTGAAAGCAAATATTAGTCAAATAGCTAATTTCCATGAGAAAAGATTCCATAAGATGTCGAAGAATTTGAAATAAAGAAATTAACCGTAGATATTTTGGAATTTCTAAAATTCAAGACTACCTCAACACAAAAAAATCACAGATTCAAAAAAAAAACGGTTCTCAAATCATGGATTTTTGAAGAATGTTTTAGTGTCTTAACTAAGGATCATAACAAGTATGAACCTTATTTGAATGCGTATCATTGCTTAAGAGTAGTTACATTTTTGGAACTATATCCAACTCTAAATCGATTTTCAACAAAATTGACGGAGGCTTTTGAACCGATTTCTCCGACGTCGATGTACTTGCTTCTAGACTGAATTCGAATGATATTTGCCATTTGTGCACAATTAACCTGAAATCGGTTGAAGATATATATGGGGTCTATATCCAAATCTGAACCGATCTTGATACAATTTGGCAGCCCTATTTCTGGGCTGTATCTGATATCTGGTGCAAAATACCACTGTTTTCGAATGCATATTACGAATGTGAGGGACTCAAACACCAAATCGTATAAATCACATAGGAGCTAAAGCTATACCTGAACCAATTTTCACCAAATTTGACTAGACTGAATTCGGTTGGATGCACCAAAATTCAGGACTTTTGGATTGATATTTGCCATTTTGTGCACAATTAACCCGAAATCGGTTAAAGATATATATGGGACATATATCCAAATCTGAACCGATCTTGATACAATTTGGCAGCGCTCTTTCTGGGCTGTATTTGATATCTGGTATAAAAGATCATTGAATTCAAATTACGAATGTGAAGGACTTAAACGCCCAATCGCATAAATCATATATATGGGAGCTATAGCTATATCTGAAACGATTTTCATCCGAATTAGGACAGGACTTTTGGACAAATATTGGCCATTTAGTGCACAATTAACCCGAAATCGGTTGAAGATATATACAGGGTGGATTAAAAAACACCAACAAAGTCGAACGCCCTAATTTCTACATTTTTCTTATTGTTATTGAAAGAAGTTAAAAATGTCGAAAAAATCATTAAATTTTAGAATAAGTTTGGATTTGCTCGAACTGGTCACTTTTCGCACGAATTTTGGCCTTCAAAATGCCAATAAAACCCTCACACGCTACCAGAATGTTGCTCTGCGGTATATTGGCCCATTCCCGGCGAAGCGTTTGCTTGAGGTGACCGACACTTTGGTATTTTTTAGTGCCAATCTTGCTTTCCAAAATACTCCAGACACAATAGTCCAAGGGATTGGTATCCGTAGATTTTGGTGGCCATTGTGCGCTGGAAATGAAGCGAGGAACCTAATTTTGTAATCATTCTTGGGTGGCGCGTGCTGAGTGCGATGGTGCCAAGTCCTGTTGGAATTGCCAAGGTCTACGGCCAAAATGTTGCATGTTTGCTTTAATACACCCTAAAGAATATTTTCGCGATAATATTCGGCATTTATTTTTATGACACGGTTGATTAATACGATCGGAGAGCGACCATCGGTGACCATTTGTTATGGCAGCCCACACCATCACCATGGCCGGCGCTTGATTTCTGGTGGCCAACCGAATGTGCACATTTTCAGCTTTTCTCTGTGGCAAGGAAATACGATAATTTTCTTTGTTTATAAACTGCTGCCAAATTCGGCAGTTCACCACTTTCGGCCAAGCGAAGCAACTCTTTAGCTCATTTGAGTCTATTTTCTTTCTGTTGTGGTTGAGGTTGTAAGCTCTTGCACTTTTTGGAATATCAATGGCTTCACCCCGAAATCATTTTTGTTTAATATTTGTCGAATGGAATATTGCGATATTTTCAGCTCACGAGCCATTTTTCGGCCACTGCGACGCGGGTTTCGATCAAGTCGCTTCTTTAGTTTTCGAACCATTTCCGCTGATGTTTCTGTTTTCTTCCGTTCTCTTCCTTTACGTCGGGCTACTCTACCAGTATCACGGTAACGAGCGATGGTACATGACACAAAAGATTTATTCACATTTAAATGCTGGAATGCTCTAACGATAGCCACTTATTGTTTTCCAAATAAATAAAGAAATCACACTATAACGCTTGAATTCCATCACGAATAACTTTTTTGCTGAAAAATTCTCACAAAATGCTTTTTTAGGCTTGTAAACAATATAAAGAGCTGTCACTGGAATAATTTTAACCGTTGTTTGACGAGGGGCTGAGAAATGACAGCAGTCTGAAATTGGTTGCAGTTTTTTCATCTCACCCTGTATATACGACCATTTTGGCAATTTCGACAGAATTCGTCCTAGAAACAAGTACTTTATATTTTGTGGAAATCGGTACAGATATAGCTTCCATATATATGTTTCATCCGATTTGGCGTAAAAGTCCCTCACAAGCGTAATATGCACTCCATAACATTGATATTTGATATATACGAGCTATAGCTATTTCTGAACCGATTTGTACACTAAATTCGTTCGGATGTGCAAAAGTTAAGGTGATTTGGAATGATATTGGCAATTTGGCGCACAATTAACCCGAAATCATTTGAAAATACATGTAGGAGCTATATTTAAAATTTGAACCGATTCTCACAAATTTCAATAGGATTCGTCCTTGGGCTTGATATGTGGAAAATGTCATCTCAATCGGGTAATAAATACGACCTGATTTTTTTCACAAAAATTCATGAACACCTCGAAATATTGGTTTCCCACATAGGAAAGTATGTATGGATCTTCCTATCTCGCCGAGCTGAGTTGATCTGGCTATGTATGTCCTTCCGCCCGTCTGTCCGTCTGTCCATGTTAATTTGTAATCACGCTACAGGTCGCAATTATGAACCAATCCTCACGAAATTGAGAATGGAGGTGGGGTTATGGTCAGAATAGAACCCTATTGTTCTTGGAGATGATCGCGTAATATTTAGGGGTTGAAATGGACCAAAAACCGAAAAATTTCTTGATTTTGCACTTGCTCTACAGGTCGCAATTATTGACCAATCGAAACGGAAGTTAGCATGGGGCTAGAGTTTAGGACTGAGTAGAAGCCTTCCAATTTTTATGGTCAGCGGGTAATATTTAGAGGGTGAAATAGACCATAACAGTTGTGTTAAATGCACAAATAGACAAAAGAGGTAAATTCTGACCGTTACGTAGATGCGGATAGTAAATATAATATGTTTATATACGAATGAAGGGGGTGTTAACCAGAATGTGTATATCTCAAGAATGGTTGGACCGATTTTGACAACTTATGTCAATTCAGAATACCCTCTTAGCATAAAAGAATAAAATTTAAAAAAATCGCATAAAAAAGTTCCAATAATAATGCTAATATAGTTTTTGTAGTATTTTGTGACATATGTTTATTTTTTCATATTTTTTATCGCATGCGATTTTTTCAATTTGACTTATAATATAGAAGTGTATGTTTTGTAATATTTTTTTCACCTTACAACACAGGTTGGGGTTATTGTATACAGATTGATATTATCGTCCGATCCTCACGAAAATTTTCACAAGGGTGGGGTTGGGCTCAGAAGGGCTGGGCCTATTGTATTCAAAGATGTCCCCAATATATTTAGGGGTTGAAATAGACCAACAACTAAAAAAGTTCCTTCCAAAAGTTTTGGAGATGATCGTTTAAATGGACCAAAAACAGAAAAAATTTCCTGATCACACAATTAAAGCCAATCGAAATGCCTGAGAAGAGAGTTAAGGGCAGGGAAGAATTTTAGCAGTTTGGATGGCCATTGGTTTAAATTTAGCTGTAAAATGGACCACAACAACAAAAAGCA